TTTAAAGGTCCTCTTTCTTTGTGTGATTCAAAGTCATTGCCAACAATTTCACACATGGACCATTTACCTGCAAAACCAATTATCATTAGAAAATAAAGCCTGCTTAAAATGAATTCGCCTCTGTAACAAACCATCTCTCCATTGAATCCCTAACACAGTGAAGTCAGTCTAAACCAAACACATGTATACATTTTTTTCAATTTTTTCTCTATCAACTATCTAAAAACCCAACTCATCTTTGCATGTGTCAATTCCTTTGATGTTGTTCTGTTCAGAAAGGTCGTGCTGAAAGATAAAACTCAAAATTTACTTTATTTTTTATTCAAAAGAGAGAATGCAGTTAAATAGCAAGATTTGCACAATGGAATACTATGCACTCTGGTAGTTGCACATTGATTGCCATGAAATAGGCCATGTTCTTAAAAAGAAAAAAAAATCAGTTGCAATAAACACTTTTCCTGAAGTGTAGTCATGACAAAGTTCCTTTTAATTGTTAAAAACATAGCAAAGAAAACACTGAACCCAGATTGGAGAATTGCTCAAAATTCTCATATGTAACCAAAATATGGTTTTCACAAAATTACATTAATTATTTAACAGCCATTGAGTGTTCCTTTCTAATACATACAGAAACACATTCATCACTATATGTGTGTAGCAGTTGGAACAAGGGAATTAATTTGTATGTGCAACTGAATCCGCAACCAATTAAATCATTGCTTTGCCATCCATAGCCATAGCAGAAATTGTTTGGTCAAAACGTTTGCATTCCTAGCGTTGAGCCCACCCGAAAAAAATAACAGAAGGATCAAGCACTGCAAGTTTTCTGATAAATCAAACATTATATAATACCTACCAGCTGTCAATGCAATTATTGAAAATGTGATTTTAATTTTTCTCAAGGACGAAATTTTTAAAAATTATTTTCATATATAGCTATATTTATGTTGTTAATTTAGCTATTACTTAAATAGAATTTATCATACATGGCATGCTCATGTGGTGAAATCTGAAAAAATTAAATTTCCCTTGACTTAATTGAAATGAAACATTATGCAAATGAAGAAGCAATGCTCAGACTGATCAAAGTGCTAGCAGATGTAATCACTGTAACTCTCAAATTTATAAGTGCGCCCTCTTGTGATCAATAGTGGAATTTGCTACATTTTTCTAATAACTTTAAGGTAGCGAGACTATTAATTGTGTTGAAAATTACGATTTTCACATTTATTTATTAAATGATGAAATGCACTATAAACTTTCATGTGATAAAGTCAACATAACATAGAATGTCATGTAAGTTGGTTAAAATGTAGATTTTCTGAAGGGAAGCAAGGCAGCTTCAGTAGTGTTTTCCAAAATCAACAACACAGGTTTAATCTGTGTGCCTATAAGTTTCAAAGATAAACTCAAGACAAAGCAATGTAGTTCTTAGTACATCCATGGTTAGGATGTGTTATCAGTAGCTATCTGACACACAATTAGTGTTTCCAAACATTTGAGTGGTTTGTCTCTGCCCCTATTTGTTTCACAGATTAGTCATTTGCATATGAATGTGTCAGACACAAGGTCACACAGCCACTGAAAAAAATCATTGATTTTGGTGTTTTCATCTGCCGATTTTATCCAATTATAGCTATCCCATTCCTTTATTTTTTTTGGTTTCCAAAAGCCTTACACATTTGAATGTCCCTACACATGTTAAAACAGACTTTGATGGGAAAACAAATTGATTGTGCCGATAAACAAGCTTGAAAATCTTTGCTGTTACTTCATGGAAGTTT